CACAACAAGGCTGCAGGAGAAACTGAACTCTAAATAGCAACACAGGGCTGGAGAATATAGCCTGGGACGTGCAGCTCAGGCCCCTGCTGTGGCAGCTAACCACAACTTATAACCCCTTCGGAGACTCATCTTAAATCCAAGCAGGGTCTGTCTGGGGTTTTTGCTCCTGCTGTTCCCACTGGAAGGCTATCCCACTGCTCCACTGCTCCCATGGGTACCAGCCTAAGTTGCTGCCTGAATTTCTTCTTGATCAGATTATATTCATTTGATCTGGTGATGATACTGTTCTCTACCTTATATAGTTATTTCCCTTTCCCATTGTATTCAACTCCTTAAGGCATTCAAAACAGCTAATTAATGCTCGTTCTGCCTTTACTTTGGTGAGCCTGCTGTAGGAGACTCTTCCACTCTTTAGGACAGGCTGTGTTACACCCACTTGCCCCATTCTTGCATATGCACATTTCAGTTCCTTTTTCCTGTAATAGGAAAGAATACACAATCCCCTAACAGAAATACATGCAGTATCCCAGGTGGGATCCTAACAGGGTCTGTAGGGTGGCATTAGCACTTTGTTTACCGAAAGTACTTTCCCCACTGCAGCCTCCCATAAATCCGGTATTTGGGATCAGATACTTCCAACAGATAAGCTTTTTTTATCAGCGGAGACACTGGGAGCTTTGATGTGCTTAAGCTGTGTTCTGTTCCGACTACACCATTTTCTCCATCATCCAGCTGTTTCTGTATAATTTCCTTGTTGTCCCCTGCCCCTTCCAAGTTGGTCTCTGACAAATATTAGCCTATTTTGGTGTTCTATTCAGTGGCCGTTTAATTCTTCAATGTCTTCTTCCTTTTCTGTTGATACCACTGGAAATGGATTTGCCACGGTCTTGCAAAGAAAAATGTCTAGCTGAATGCTTCTGCCATGCAGGGGTCTTACCAGTTCTTATTGTTTGGAGCGATCCCTAAGATACTACAGCAACTTCCTTGTCAGCAAGGTCGACTTGAAGTGCAACATAGAAGGTGTGGAGTCTAAAGGGGAAGATGTGTGAGGAGCGGCTGAGGCCCCTTGGTTTGCTCAGCCCCAAGCAGAGCAGGCTGAGGGGAGGCCTCATGGCGGCCTGCAGCTCCCTCACGAGGGGAGCGGAGGGGCAGGCGCTGATCTGTTCTCTTTAGTGACCAGCGACAGGACCCAGGGGAATGGTGTCAAGCTGCAGCAGGGGAGGTTCAGGCTGGATATCAATTCTTCACCAAGAGGGTTGTCGTGTGCTGGAACAGGGTCCCCAGGGACGTAGTCAGCACCGAGCCTGATGGAGTTTAAGAAGCGTTTGGACTGTTCTCTTAGTAATAGGTCTGAATTTTTGGGTCTGAATTTTTGTGCGGTGCCAGGAGTTGGACTCGATCCTTGTGGGTCCCTTCCAACTCGGGATATTCTATGATTCTATGAAATTTGTTCATTTTACTGCATCCACTGTGTAATTACTTTGAAATAGCTCACAGGGTTTGACTTCATGGGCCAGCAGAGTCATAGTGGAGCATTTTTGGGTTAGGGTTATATATTAGGACTGCTGTTAGGGCTAGGGTTAGGGTTAGAGCCCCTTTTGGGTTAGGGTTAGGGCTGGGGTAGGGGTAGGGGTACAAGCAGGGATAGGGGTAGGGGTTAGGGGTTATTGTTAGGGTTAGGGTTTAGGGGTTAGGAACTTTTGAGGCTGGCTGACATCAACTGAGAGACCAATGAAGTGGTTATCTAGCTCAATAAAATTAAAAAATATTTAAGCTGTAGCAAACAGCATTGACTAATTTATATAGGAGCACCCCAAACTGGAGATGTAGTTTGCCAAAGCCATCCCATGGTATTTGGCTTATGAAATTAGTCGTAGTTACCACTTTTGGTGAATTGTGTGGAGAATCATGGTGGCATTTCTTGCTGCTTAACTGCAATAAATTGATAAAATAGGAGACAGCAGAGTAGCACTTGCTCCTCTAGGTGTTCTGCCATCCAAACAGTGATTGCACTTGAACACTCAAAATGAGGGATGATCTCAGCTGATATAGAGCAGTGGCTGTGATGTTCAGGTGCTATTCTGCCTTTCATTAATGCCATCTAGGAGTTCATCAGCCCGTCAAAGGGATCTTTCCAAGCTGAAGGAGGTCTGCTTGTTTTCTGTACATTGCCAAGCCTTTGCTGATGGCCTGACTGATGCCTCCCAGATGCTTTACAGTCAATTTCTTCTTTATTTCTCTATGGTTTGGAGTCAGAACTGCCAGATTAGGAGGGAACACGTAGCAGGGAGTTTATCCCTTAGCTCCAAGGCCAGATCTTCCTCTAACAATCATGCTTCTTATGCGGGTTTGTGTGTGTGTGAACGTAGAATTGCCTTGGCTATTTTTTCTTTTTCATGCTGTTGGCAACATTTTCAATACCAGAGAAAAAGAAAAGTGCTCTTCTCAGCAAAGAGGAAGTTATCACACCTACAAAATACAGGATGCAGTCCCAAACGTTTACAGCCTCAGGGTCTGAAAGAGGATTGGAAACTGTGTATACAGTATTAGGCTTCTTTGCAGGCAGTTTTTGAACAAGAAAGGTGTTCCTGGCCAAGGTACTGCTAGTTAGTGTTCTCATTATAGGAGACTATTGCACCAGCTGGGTGAGTGACAATAAATGAAATGGAATTTCTCTTCTTTTGCTTTCTTTCATACAGCCTAAGGAAATGAAGGAGAAAGTGGTGTCTTCCATCCATTATTCATATAAAGCTAGGCTGGAAAATAAGATTCAGCTCTAGCCATGGGAGTATCTCCAAGTGTTTTTGGATAGTGAATGCACTCACTTAACCTTGACAGAAGCGTATTCTGAGTGACATTTCCACTTTACGGAATCAATCTAAACTTGAACTATTTTATCTAAAGTACTGAGCAGGTCATACCCTAAAAGACTTGGTAGACAGCTAAATTTGCTCACATGATCTCCGCCCTTCTAGACAGCATAAAGGTGCACGAAAAATGTAATTTCCACAGTCATACAGGTAACAACAGTATGGAAATAATATAAATATGAAACTTGGGTGCTTAGTTTGGCCCTCTGAGAAGTACTGAATGGGAACTTTCCCTCCAAGTGAATTCCTGTAAACCCGTGTAATCAGAGATTGCTTCACTCCTCACTGGCTACAGCCACATACAGAAAAAAATGGCTTTAAACTGCAGCAGGACAGGAGGAAATACCTTGCCTGTTATGAAAGTGAAGAACCACAGCCCCTGCAGGCATTTGACTCCTGTTTGAACTAACGCTGCGCATTCCTATGAAGTCTGTAGAAACAGGGGTGCATTTTTAGAAGATATCCATGAAGGGCCTTCTTGTTAAGCTCTAAAGTGTGGTACCTCTGCAGTTGGCAGCTGACTGCTTGCAGGGGGATGAGTAAATAACGGTGAATATTTCTGTTTGACTAGCAGGAAGTCTCACATTTCTTTATAGGTATTTGGAAATACCAATTGTGTGTTGCAAGATGGGAGTTTCTTAAGATTTTTTTTCTTCCTTGTTGGTGACAGCACCATTCTGGTTATTAAACTCAACTTACAAGTAAGACAATAAAATAATGAGGATAATAAATCTAAGTTTGAAGACTAAGAAGGTTTTAGATGCATTTATCATGAAGAGATTGAGACCTTTACTGCGAAGCTATGGCATTTATGTGTCCCTTTGCTTTGTTACGTATTGGCCTCAGCAGAGGTCAGGTAAGAACCCAAATCTCACAGGCTACTTGATTGACTATGAGGCAATGTCAATCCTCAAAACAAGACAAAACAAAACAAAACAAAAATAAATATAGTTGTTAAAGTGAACTAGCTGATGCCATAATGCAATCGGTATCATCAGGTAGCTTAGCATGGAAGACGGAGTCTAGGGGCTGTGTTAGAAGCTGCTCCCCTCTACCAGAGTTGCATTTTGAAGTGGGACACTGTGAAAAGCTGATCTCTTAAAGAGCTTGCTGAACATTACAAAGTCAATTTTCCATCCTACCTTTTGAAGCGTCTACAGTTCCCCATGCAAAGCTGCCCAAACAAAGCACTTCCAATCAAATACAATTGTGTGCAGGCACACTGTTTCTTGCCAGCACTTTCTTTTGAAATGAATTCAATTGATAAGAATTTCAAAGGCTAGTAAAAATTAACCAGCTCTGAACGTCATGAACAAGTAGAGCTGCTTTCTGTAGTTCAGCTTACGCATGCCCACTGAAAAATTGTACAAACAACCTCAAGACCCAGTGGGTAAAACCCACTTCTCCTTATTCTCCTTATTAGTTCCACTATCAAAACAAGAACAAGATATAGGTGCTGGTGACTAGTGCAGAGGGTTTTTCATGCTTTGTCATTTGAGTAGATCTTGTAGGAGGGTTGATACATCAGGGGTATTAAGGCTGTGCTTCTGCTTGTGCTTCTTCTTCCCCAAATACTCCTGCTTGATGTCCCACCTCACTTGCCAGCAAATGGCCCCTCAGCCCCCTGCACTCAGAGCCCTGACAAACCCAGCATTGCTTCAGACACCGGGCAAGGACACGCAGCACGGTGAGGTTGCTCCTGTCAGTACACGAACAATGCATCGACAACTCTTCAGCATTTGACCAGAAGAGCCACCTTTGTATTATCAGAGAGTGGTCTAGTAATTGTACCAATTAAACATGTGTCTACTTAGGCTATTTTTATTAGTAGTGATAGATCGGTGAACAGCAGCTGTGCAGTAAAACCGGGACTTTGATGATAAACCCCTAATAAATCTTGAGTAGCAGAGCCTAAATACCCAACTCCCCCTTCAATAGGTATTGCAACAGACTGTAAACAAAATTCATCTGTGGCTAAAGTACTTTGCACCTGTTGTAAGAAATTTGACAGGTTTGGAGTGATGTTTTAATTATTGGGAAATTGCCATATACTTCAAAGGCTGTTTGTGGTGACGGCAGAGAAGAGGAACCAAAAGGGGGCAGGATAAAAATATATAAGAGGCAAGTGCAGGAGAGCCTGCAGTTTCACTTTTGAGAGACGGTGTGTGCTACGCCGACAACATGAAGGCTTTGCTGACCCTCGTCTTTTGCCTCTTACCCCTGGCTGCTCAGGGGAAAGTCTACAGCAGGTGTGAGCTGGCAGCAGCTATGAAGCGACTCGGACTGGACAACTACCGGGGATACAGCCTGGGAAACTGTAAGTCTGTTCTCCCCTGATTTCCAGGGAGCACGTGGGGTGGGAATTTCCACTTCACAAGCTTTGTTAAGGTGAGGATGTAGGCACGATGCTGCAGTGCAGGTGTTAAGGCTCCACTGGGTTCATCCACCTCTGCTGGCACAGACTGCAGGCATTTTCTACAGCTTGTCCCATTACCACTTCTTTCCCTGGCACTCTTCCACAGGCAAATAAAACCATTATCAGCAAGCGTTTTGCAGAAGCAGCCTGTCTCATCATACCTCCCCAGGAGCTAATTGCTCTGCCTTTATTTGCTTTGATTCCTTCCTCTGGGTGGCTGCTGCTGGTGACCTCCCCCTGAGGCTGTGGAGCAAGCAGGACAGGAGCGTGGAGCTGAGCTGGGCAGAGGTGCTGGTGCCAGGCTTGCTCGGTGGGAATCACTGGAAATAGTAGTGGGGGAGAGGAGACAGTGGGCATGCTGTGAGGAAAGGGGGCTGAGGGAGAGGGGTTCCTCCAGACAAGGAGCCTCCCTCCCTCAGGTGAAGGCCAAGTGAAGACTTCTTTCCTCCAGACAACAGGCTGTTGTTAAACCAATTTCCTTTGAGGGGAAGCATGCGTGGGGTCTGATCCCAGATCTGGAGAGCGATCCACATGAGGGTCAGACGCAATCGCTGTCCCCGTCCCTCTTCCTTCCCACTGCCCTGCCGCAGATGCAGCAGATGTAGATGGGACAAAACAAGGCCATTATGCATCACGTGAAGTACAAGCAGCTGAAACAAACCTTGTCAAAGCCAGCAGCTATTTGTGCTGCTGCCATCTGCTGCAGTCATTGGCTCCCAAAAGTTTCAAAGGAGACAGGGTGAGGGACAGAGCGTGCCCTGCCTGCCGCTGCCCACGCCAGCCAGCCTCCCTCGAGATGTGGGTGCAGCCGTGCCGCCCGCAGCCACATGGGCAGGAGCTGGCATTTATTTTGAAGGGTAGAAATCCTGTGCTGGGTTTTCTAAGGTCATTTTGAAGTTAAGACGTCCTGTAGTTGTTTTTCACACTGGGTTGGATTGGAATAAAAGGAGCTCCACCTGTCACATGCACTCTGCATACAGTCACATTTCAGCCAGGCGAGGAGATGGGGTGTGTATGTACACAAGTTGGGTCCGGTTTTAAAGCAAACATCTCTTTTCTTTTTTCCTTTTGAATGGAATTTTGACAGGGGTGTGTGCAGCAAATTACGAGAGCAGCTTTAACACGCAGGCTACAAACCGTAACACTGATGGAAGCACCGACTACGGAATTTTACAGATCAACAGCCGCTGGTGGTGCGATGATGGCAAGACCCCAGGGTCCAAGAACGCGTGCGGTATCCCATGCTCAGGTGAGCTCAGCTTCCCCAGGCAATACCGTGACGGGCTGCCCTTCCATATTCCCGTTGCAAATGAGCAAAGGTTGGTGGCAGCCTCGGCTTTAGAAACATTGCCGTACAGAGTTCAAACTCACCCTTCCCCCTTTCAAAAAGGAGGTCTGCACCGTGGTTGTGCACATGTGAGAGGAAAACATTTCTTTACAGCAGGGACTGTATTCCCCTGCTTACCCATCTTACTGTTTCTAGAGTAAAGAGGTTTCCGCAGAACCCATTTATTAATTAGTAGTAACACCAACCCCTGGACATTTTTCTTTGAAGGTAGTGAGAGCTTGACTTCTTGCAAGAGGCTGGCCCAAATGACCACTTGCAGCCTGGTTTATTTTGTATAATTTCTGGATTTGCTTCATTGGTCTTACTCTTGCACTCTGATAGTTGCAAGTTGCCAGAGAGAAGTTCTTTGCTTTTTCTTAGAAAATAGAGAACAGAGGAATTGCCGCACATCTCAAGCCTTTGGTTCTTGTTGCTTGGTAGAATGTCTTACCAAAGAAGGTGATACACTATATATATATTCAAGAGCTGAACAAGGTATCTGGAGTAGTCAGCACACAGCCTGAATATTTTGAAGTTCAAAGCAGCTGTACAACTATTACCATGCTTGCCACTATCATTTTCTCACTTTCTTGGGTATTATATAGGCTTTTCCCTCACATCATGTTTGCCCACATGCTATTCAGTCTTCAGAACTGTTGTCTGTACAGGATGGTTAATTTAACCAGACATCGTATGAGCCCTTGGAGTGGGAAACAATAAAAATGGTGAACACCAACACACACTCCCTAAGGACATTTGAAGACTATTTAAATAAAAATATGAAAAGAAAGAGAAAACTGACATTGTTTCCTGTCTCCTTTTTCAAGTACTACTGAGATCAGACATAACAGAAGCTGTGAGGTGTGCAAAGAGGATTGTCAGCGATGGAAATGGCATGAACGCATGGTAGGTTTTGGTGGGTTAAAAGACTGAGCTGCACTTGTAGAACAGACAATTAAGAGAAGAAATATAATTTTAAACTAATCCATCTTAGAAAGCACAGGCAAACCTTAGCAGCCCCTTGCATGTGTATTTCAACTCAAAGTATATAAGAACAGTAGCTAAAATGAGCATTGGTGCAAACTGCAGCTGTGGCATCCTTGATGTTCTTCAAACCGTGATATGCACCAAATTCTTCATAACTAGCAGGGCACGAATATTGTCTAAGCTTTCCATCCCCCAAACTTTTAGTATTGAAGTGCAAACTAAATGACCTACAACGTACATGTGACTGGCTTTGATTTTGCTGGCTGCAGGCGAAGGGTCGAGTCATCTTGACCTGCTTTTACAAAGCCCACGTGCTCTACTTAGAACTGAGACTCTCAAAGAACAGAGCGCATAGACCAGTCCAACCTATGGCCTTAGGTGTGCTGTGATTTCTAAATCAGGAATGCTTGGTTGTGCCTCTCTCTTTGGGGAAGTAGCAAAGTACTTGATATATAGCTGGCCTTTTGCAGAATTTAGCTGTGTATCTAAGCCAGGGTTGCTAAGAAAAGCCCCCTCAGTGCTGACTTTTGAGTTTGCTGTCATTAATTGCCCTGATCTTCCTCTGTCCAGGGTCGCATGGCGCAACCGGTGCAGAGGCACAGATGTCTCCAAGTGGATCCGAGGCTGCAGGCTATGAGGCGCAGGTGCTCAGCGGGGCCCGTTCTCAACAGCCAACAGCCCTCACACCAAGCAAACTGGTTCCTCAAGGCGCTTGTTACAGTCCGTGATCCACACAAAATCCAGCATTCCTACAACGCAGCTCACTTGTGAAGCTGCTGCTTTGCTCCTTGCAGATGAAAGGGGTTTGTTTCCACCTATCCACCCCCTTTGTGCCCGACGCAGCTTGAACAGCCAGCTGCTGGTTTTGCTGTACGTAGGCATGAGCAGGGAGCCGATCTAACCGAAATCTCACCGCTAGGTTTTGCTGCTGCATGCTAGCATGATGTTTGTTACTTGCTTGGCAGTTTTAAGTGCGTTCATCATTAAAAAAATACCTGCAAATGGCTGTGTATTGGTCAGTGTGATTTGTGATCCGTAGTGCTACTGGGGTTTTTAACCTGTGACTGCTTGAGGTGGTTGTGGCTAATGAGAGGTAGACTCATGAAGATGGGAAAAGGGCTCTGAGATCATGTGGTTGAACTGTCACCCTAATAGCAATGTCACCCTAATAGCAATGTCACCACTGAACCACGTCCCCAAGCACCACGTTCAGCCTCTCCTTGAGCATCCCCAGGGACAGTGACTCCACCACAGAATCACAGAATTTCTAGGTTGGAAGAGACCTCAAGATCATCGAGTCCAACCTCTAAGCTAACACTAACAGTCCCCACTAAACCATATCCCTAAGCTCTACATCTAAACGTCTTTTGAAGACTTCCAGGGATGGTGACTCCACCACCTCCCTGGGCAGCCCGTCCCAGTGCCTAATTACTCTTCCTGAGCCGAAATGCCTCCTCATTCCCACCCTGAGCCTCCCCTGGTGCAACTGGAGGCCGTTCCCTCTGCTCCTATCTCTGGTTATCTATGAGAACAGGCCGACCCCCCCGCTGCCCGCCGCGGCGAGAAAATGGCGGCGGCCGCCGCCGCCTCAGCGGGGCAGCGCGCGGCCGCCGCCATTCCCCGGCCGCCCCCCGCCGCCATGGGGGCGCGCGCCCCTCCCGGCGCGGCGCGGCGCGGGCACGTGACGGCGGGGCCGCCATCTCGCGGTACCGGCAGCGGCGGGGCCGGGCCGGGCCGGGCCGAGCGGCCGCGGGGCGTGGAGCTGAGCGCGGGCGGCGGCGGCGGGCGGCTGGCGGCGGGCGGCGCCCCCTCGGTGCAATATGTTCAAGAGAATGGCCGAGTTCGGGCCTGACTCCGGCGGCAGGGTGAAGGTGCGGCGGGCCGGGCGCGGAGGGACGGAGGGAGGAAGGGAAGGAGCCCGGGGGGGGTCCGGGGCTGCCCCCCGGCGGCTCGGGAGCGGGTGCGGGAGCTGCGGGTTTGTCGCTTGAAGGGCGTCACCATCGTGAAGCCGATCGTGTACGGGAACGTGGCGAGGTACTTCGGCAAGAAGCGCGAGGAGGACGGGCACACGCACCAGTGGACGGTGTACGTGAAGCCCTACAGGAACGAGGTGAGCGGCGGGGGCTGCCGGGCACAAAGGGGGGCTCAGCGGGAGGGGGTGAGCACCGAGGGTGCTGCAGACTTTTGGGCTTGTGCCTTTATTTTCCTGCTGGTGTTGGAGGTAGGGGTGCGAGAAGAAGGGCTGGGGTGATTGCACAGTCGTTTGCTGTGCTGTGCACACAGCGAGAATCCCCACACCTTGCCTTCCTTTCAGGACATGTCAGCCTACGTGAAGAAAATTCAGTTCAAGTTGCACGAGAGCTACGGGAATCCCCTGAGAGGTAAGGTTCGTGTTCTGGCCTTAGCTCCTGGAGGGAGGGTTTTGGTTACTTGCGTGGGGGCTTCATCACCGTCCCTGCTGCTTCCCCCCGCAGTTGTTACCAAGCCGCCGTATGAGATCACTGAGACAGGCTGGGGCGAATTCGAAATAATCATCAAGATATTTTTCATCGACCCCAATGAAAGACCTGTAAGTACAACAAACTTTTAACAGTGCTTAAAGAATGAGGGAGCCCTAAGGTTGTAGTGCTTCATATTGCTGGTAAAAAGAAGTGCTGTCAGCCGTAGGGATAATAAAGCTTGCTTTTGTAGGAAATGTATTCAATTTTTGGCCATGTTTTCCAGTTTCTGTGCTTTAGTACAGGCTAGGGCATTTGTGAGGGCTTTTGCTGTTTCTGGTATTTACTTACATGTGAATGCACGTTGCACCGTACCTGGGTTGGGCACACAGGGAGGGTTTCTCCTCAGTGGCTTCCTAATCGTAGGATATTGGAATATTTTAATTATCATAACATAGTGTATGTGTGTGCGTGTGTGAGTATATATGTATATATGTGTGTGTGTATATATGTATTTATATACATATATTGTCTATCAGATTTGGTCAAAATCAGTCAAAAAGCGACAAAGTTGCTATTCTAGCGTTAGTTTCTAAAGAAAAGCAGGCTAGCACACTTCTGTAAAGCAGTGGAATGAATTTTCTTCCCATCATTTTTTTCAGGCATCTTGCAGTTTTGTGTACCCAAGTTTAGGTAGGAAACTTAATTACCATGTTTTAGGGTAAGATATTAGCTCCTGGAAGGAGCAAGTTCTTTCTGTCACCCAAACTATGGGGATGATAAGGTTGTGGAAGCCACTTTCAGATGGATTTATTGTCAAAATTGGTTTGAAATAAATGACCTGTTCTATTTGGAAATCTTTAAGAGAAGGTATTTTTAGTAGTTTTTTATGCATCAATCCTAAAGCAGTTGTTTAGACGGTTTAAAAATACCAAGCAACCTTTGTAGCTGGCATGTTTAATAATGAATATTCAACTTAAATAGCTCTGCTGATGACATTTATTTTTGTATTCCTAAAAGCCCTTTAAATCCTGTGTGATTGTGTAGTAAGAACAAACGCTACTTGTTTATATCTAGAAGGTGATTTTTATTTTCCTACAATTGTCACGCTAATAAATCTCTGTCTGCACAGGTAACCCTGTATCACTTGCTGAAGCTTTTTCAGTCTGACACCAATGCTATCCTGGGAAAGAAAACTGTAGTTTCTGAATTCTATGATGAAATGGTATGAAAATTTTTAATGTAATCCTCACTTTATTTTGGAAAGTATTAGTGATAACACTTGTTTCTCTCCCCCATTAGATATTTCAAGATCCTACTGCAATGATGCAGCAGCTGTTAACAACGTCTCGTCAGCTAACACTAGGTGCTTATAAGCATGAAACAGAGTGTAAGTACAAAATACGTTCATTTTAGAAGTAAGCTGTAGTTGGTTTGGGGTTTAGGGTTTTCTGTGGGATGTAATCATACAATGGATTTGGCTGCTGCTAGAAAGTGATATTTTTGTCTTAAATTAACTTCAGTTTTTGCAAAGATGCTAATACTTATTTGAAAACTTAAGATTTTCAGATCTGTATGCTTGCTGAAAAGAAAGGAATTACAAATAACTTGGTATAAAGATTGATGGCGTGATCTACACCTTGTTTATCATATTTGAAATGAATTAAAAGAGAATAAATTCAGACCACTGCCTTAGAGGTAATTAGGGTCATGTCATGAGGATGTTAACTGGAAGCAAAGATTGTGCTTCACCACTTGAAGTACGTAGCTCTCAGTGCTGCTTAAGACAAAGCAGCAGCCCCCTGGGATAAAGAGGAGCGTCTGGAAGCTCTTCCTGTCCCTTTCCCTTCTGTCTAATACTTTAAGTGTAGGTCACTTCACAATGCAGTGTAGTTTAATGTTACTTTCGTCCCTCCTGCATGATCTGTCTTTAAGTATAAAACAGAATATTAATGGAATTAAGGAAATAGAGCTATGAAGATAATGCAGCGTCTAGAGGACAAAATGCGTGAGGAGCAGCTGAGGTCCCTGGGTTTGCTCAGCCCCGAGCAGAGCAGGCTGAGGGGAGGCCTCATGGCGGCCTGCAGCTCCCTCACGAGGGGAGTGGAGGGGCAGGCGCTGAGCTCTGCTCTCTGGGGACAGCGACAGGACCCGAGGGAACGGCACGGAGCTGGGACAGGGGAGGGTTAGGCTGGGGGATAGGGAAAGGGTCTGTGTGGAGCCAAGAGTTGGACTCAATGATCCTTGTGGGTCCCTTCCAACTTGAACTATTCTGTGATTCTACAAAATGAAATGATAATGCATTTATTCATAAAGTAATGCATTTAGCAATGATTTCTGCTCTGATCGTCTGAACTTGATTTCTTATTTTACGCTCTCAGAAAGCAGTTGTATTTATTAAGTGCAAATTCTACCTCGTTAGTTGCAATGCCGTTGTACTTCTGTTCACTTGCTCTTTAGCTTATCTGCTTGTTCCCCTGACACTGAATACCTCAATCAAGGAGTGCTTGAGCTCCACAGATTTAGGGTTCTGATTTGCTTTGTATCTGTTCAGGTGTTTGAACATGTGCGGTAATTCCATTTTCTACTTCAGTTTTGTTAGTCTTAAAGTGGATCTTCATTACATTGCGTGGTGTTATAGTTTGTGGGTAGAAAGCATTTAATAATTTGAAACTTTCTTAAAAAGTCCAGTTTTAAAGCTTTTTTAATTAGAAGTTCTGCATGTTTCTCCTAAGCATTAATTAAAAAAAAAAAAAGAAGAATTTTTTGAATGCATTTCCTTAAAAAGTGCTATTGAAGTAGATAAAAGGTTAAATCCAAAATGATGTAACATAGGATCTGAAGGGATATCCATGGCCAAAGAAGACTTACTGGCTTTGCATTGTCTTAAAACTTGTGCATGACAAAAAAGAAAGAAATACCTGTCAGATGTTCCATCACCAGTCAGATGCTTGTTAAAGCACAGGTACCACCACCAAATTTTGTAGATGCGCAGAATCAGAATACAGTGAAGAATAGTAAATGTGATATACTTTTCACTCTTCTTTTCCCATGTGCTGTCATTTCTTTTGCTGTCAATCATGTCATTCACCCAATCTTCAGGTTGTTTTTTGTTTGTTTGTTAGTTGTTTGTTTTTACTCTGGCAAATGCTATAGTAAATTACAGTGTTCCTACCACAAAAACGATGGATTGAATGAGGTCATAAAGACGTTTTTAGTTCCATCTTTTTTTCATATATCATTTTTACCACAAGCGTTGAATCTAAGAGTATTGAGTTACTAAGTAGTTGAATTACTAAGAGTAATTGTAGGTTTGGTTTTTTTTGGACACGTACCTTCTAAATGACTATCGCTGTTTAAGAAATAAATGTGTTTTTAATAATTATAATTTCTTTATACTTACTACTTATTTTTCTTTATCACCATCACAGTTGCAGATCTTGAAGTGAAAACCAGGGAAAAGCTAGAAGCTGCTAAAAAGAAAACCAGTTTTGAAATTGCTGAGCTTAAAGAACGATTAAAAGCAAGTCGTGAAACCATCAACTGTTTGAAGAATGAAATCAGAAAA